AAAGTGACAGCTTTGCTATCTCCCTAAAATTTCTTATCCATAAATGGTCCTTGTGCAGCTTGGAGAGTGTGTTTGCTCTCAGTGACGCTGGAGTCACTGTTCTGCTACCATACAACAGTATACCATTATGAACTGTGAGCTCCCCTGAGAATGGGAGGTATGGCTGAAATGCACTTCAAATAGAGTACTTGTTTGGCCACTCCTCTGCACAGAACATTTTTAGCCACTGGAGAATGAAGCTGTTGGATTTATGTGTTTAGATTTCTTTCAGTCCTTTCTCTGTAGCTGGTAAACTTTCTATGGCTGAAACCATCCATCCATCCATCCATCCATTATCTTTACCCGCTTATTCCATTTTGGGTCACGGGGGTCGCTGGTGCCCATGTCCAGCAATCACTGTGCGAGGGGCGGGGTACACCCTGGACAGGTCGCAAGTCCATCACAGGGACACATAGAGACAAACAAGACAAACAACCATTCACTCTCTCACTCACACCTAGGGACAATTTAGAGTTACCAATCAGCCTAACATGCATGTTTTTGGTCTGTGGGAGGAAACCGGAGTACCCGGAGAAAACCCACGCATGCACAGAGAGAACATGCAAACTCCACCCAGAAAGGCCCCTGGACCGGGGTTTGAACCAAGGACCTGCTCACTGAGAGGCAGCAGCTCTACCAGTTGTGCCACCGTGCTGCCCGGCTGAAACCATATATAGCTTTATTCCTTTTTCATACTTCTTTGCTGACAGAAGATCTGGAAATGGCATTTGTGATATCTATCTCCTTACCTGGTACATGAGAGACAGGGAAGAATAACTTCATAAACCTCATGCCCAACATGGATAAATTGCATCCAGTTTCCAGTTTGAAGGCTGTAGCTGAGTGGTTAGGCCAGTTGTTAACTGTTGCTCTCTAAAATAGTAATTTTTATTCCAATTTTTCTGCAGGAGGACACACGGAACTAATGAAAACCCCAAATTCAGTATATCAGAAAATTAGTACATTACTTAAGACCAATAAAAAAAGGATTTTTAGAAATGTTGGCCAGCTGAAAAGTATGAGCATGCTCAGCACTCAATATTTAGTTGGGGCTCCTTTTGCCTGGATATTACTGCAGTAATGCAGTGTGGCATGGAGTCATCAGTCTGTGAAACTGCTCAGGTGTTATGAGAGCCCAGGTTGCTCTGATAGTGACCTTCAGCTCTTCTGAAGTGTTGGGTCTGGTGTATCACATCTTCCTCTTCACAATACACCATAGATTTTCAATGAGGTTAGGGTCAGGTGAGTTTACTGGCCCATTAAGAACAGGTATACTATGGTCCTTAAACTAGGTACTGGTAACTTTAGTACTGTGTGCAAGTGTCAAGTCCTGTTGGAAAATGAAATCTGCATCTCCATAAAATTGATCAGCAGCAGGAAGCATGAAGTGCTCTAAAACTTCCTGGTAGATGACTGCGTTGATCTTGGACCTCAGAAAACACAGTGGACCAACACCAGCAGATGACATGGCACCCCAAACCATCACTGACTATAAAAACCTGACGCTGGACCTCAAGCAACATGGATTCTGTGCCTCTCCTCTTCCTCCAGACTCTGGGACCTTGATTTCTAAATGTACTTTCATCAGAGAACATAACTTTGGACCAGTCAGTAGCAGTCCCAGGCAAGATGCTTCTGACACTGTCTCTTGTTCAAGAGTGGCTTGACACAAGGAATGAGACAGCTGAAACCCATGTCTTGCATATTTCTGTGCGTGGTGGTTCTTGAAGCATTGACTTCAGCTGCAGTCCACTCTTTGTGAATCTCCCCCACATTTTGGAATGGGTTTTGTTTCACCATCCTCTCCAGGATGCAGTTATCTCTATTGCTTGTACACTTTTTTCTACCACATTGTTTCCTTCCCTTCACCTCTCCATTAATGTGTTTGGACACAGAGCTCTGTGAACAGCCAGCCTCTTTAGCAATGACCTTTTGTGTCTTGCCCTCCTTGTGCAAGTTGTCAATGGTTGTACTTCAGACAACTGTCAAGTCAGCAGTCTTCTCCATGATTGTGTGGCCTACAGAACTAGACTGAGACATTTAAAGGCCTTTGCAGGTGTTTTGAGTTAATTAGCTGATTAGAGTGTGGCACCAGGTGTCTTCAATATTGAACCTTTTCACAATATTCTAATTTTCTGAGATACTGAATTTGGGATTTTCATTAGTTGCCAGTTATAATCATCAACATTAAAAGAAATAAACATTTGAAATATACTGTATCAGTCTGTGTGTAATGAATTAATACAATATTCAAGTTTAGAACTTAAATATGTGGTGACGTTTGTTTTTTTTGTTGTTGTTATTTTGTTGTGCTATTCTTGCTTTTAATTTTTATTGTCATGTTAATTACAGTTTTGTTAAGCCCTTTGGTCACCACCACCATGGTTGTGTAAAGTGCTATAGAAATAAGTAAATGAATGAAGTTTCGCTTTATGAATGGAATTACTGAAATAAATCAATTTTTCCATGATATTCTAATTTTATGACCAGCACCTGTGTATATATGTATATATATAATATATATATATATATACATATATACACAGGTATATATATATATACATATATACATATATATGTATATATATACATATATACA